CCCTTGCCGCGGAAGACGCTTACCAGTCCACCATGGCAGCTAAATTATGTAGTCTTATGTAAATAGCTTATTGTTGGGAGTGGGGCGTGTTAGGATGCGGCCTTTGCATGCTTTATAAACAGGGAAGCGAGCCCGGGATTTTGTCCTCGTAGTGTGTCTGAAATCACTAAATAAACTAGAGCTGATCACTGCAATGCGTCCAGAACCCAGTATTTAACAGCTACCTGTCTTGATCTATCTCCAGGGGGAACATCAGCCTGGTTTGAGTGGGAGTTGCTAAGTGGTTTAGGAGAGATTGTGTGGATTAACCCGTGCAGGGGGCTGGCTGTAACCTGGAGGCCTGAAGACAGCCAGTTATGGGGATAGATGGGCAAAGCAGGGAACTTGTGGCTGCACTTGATGATTCCTGCCCTGTAGTCTAGTTGTGGCGGTTACTCACGGCACGGTTCAGGCACTCTGCATGTGCTCAGAGGTATGCTTGTTGACATTCCCTAGGAGAGTCACCCCAGCAGAAAGCCAGTGTGGCACGGTGCTCAGAGTGCTGGAGGAAGATCTGGGAGAGCTGAGTTCAGTGTTCCCTCTAAGCTGAGTTAGTGTGAGCCAGATCACAGTTTTTTAGCCTCCGGCTCACACTTTTTTATCTTAGCTCAGGAAGGGAGGGCTCCAGATCAAACGAACTGATGCTGCAGCCAAATGGCTCGCTCACACCTTTAATGCCAGCAGCTCACAAAGGAGAATTTTTGCTCACATGACTCAACAGCTTAGAGGGAGCACTGGCCAGGTTCTAACCCCCCCCCCGCGCGATGGAAGCTCAGGAGCGAACCTCTCGGTTTCTAAAAACAACCACCCTTACCAGTGGGTGGGTGGGCGGCAGAAGGGGGGGAACTGGTAGCACCCTCCAGCTCCACAGCCTTGACTCAGCCGATTCCCCCTCTTCACCTCTGCCTTTCAGTCTTAGGGAAGGCAGACGGGGATCCGATGGTGCCCTGAGGAAGATTTCCTGCTCCTTCATCTCAGGCCTTGTGTGACCGGCTCAACTTTCCTTTTTCCGTTCCTCAGAAAGCCCCCTGATTGCTTTTCATGCCAGGACAGGAGGCAGAGACAAGAGATGATAAATGCGCAGAGGGAAAGGAGGGGTTGAGAGGGGAAGTTTTTATTGCTTTGATTTCCTTCTTTAAGTTCCTGGCACTGCGGGGGGGGGGGGTGCAGAGGCCCACAGTGTTGCCAACTCTGGCTTGGGAAATTCCAGCAGATTTGGGGGATGAAGCTTGGGGAGGGGGAGAGACCTCAGTAGAGTTTAGTGCCACAGAGTCTTCCCTCCAAAGGAGCCATTTTCTTTCTTTATTAAGGGGCTCCTGGACTAGGAGTTTATTCAGTGAAATGTTTGAAATCCAAATTTAATCCAGAAAACCTTTTTCCTGAGCAGGTGGGCCTGGCTAAAGCTTGTTCGTTGCAGGGACGGCCATTTTACTTGAGGGGAAAACAAAGCCAAACAAAGAGAGGCTTCTGGGAGTGTCGCCAGCTCCGTTGTGGGCACCCTCGAGGGACTTTCCAGCCTGACTCAGTGGTTGTTCCCCGGGCCAGAACGGGGCAAAGGCTGCATTGGGAAACCTGCAGCGTGGGGAGGGGGAAGAGATTGGGGGCTCTTCATTTGGGGCTCTGGGGAACTCTCAGGCACAAGTAGAGATGTGAAGGCCCAGAAAAAAAACAAAAAAAAAAGGAAAAAAACTGTTTTTTCCCCAAAAATTGCAAAAATCGAAAAAAGAAAAGAATTGAATATGGAACACTTTATTTTAAAGAGAGCCAGTTTGGTGTAGTGGTTAAGTGCGGGGACTCTAATCTGAGAGAACTGGGTTTGATTCCCCACTCCTCCACTTGCACCTGGCTGGATGACCTTGGGCAAGCCCTAGTTCTGACAAGACCCAAACAAGGACCCACGGTAAGTACGAAAACCAACATACAACAGATACCGTGCACAGATGAATTATAACCTGTCATAAATAATTTTATATATTTTGAAAAATATTATTACAATAATTTCGTTATACATATTAATCATCTTAGTCACAATTCATAATATAAGAGATCAAAATGTCAAATATCATCTCCATAGAATCTCAAAAGATATTGTACAACCCCATAATACATAATAGTCCTCCTCTGTAAAATAAAAGTTTCAAAAGGGAGGACTCCTTAGATTCTCTTTACATGTGCTCTGTCTTCCTCCAACAGAGGTCCAGATGTCCTTCTGTTTCAGAATCTTCCTCAGGGAGTTCAACAATAATTTTCAGCACAAGGTTGTTAAATACCAAAGTTTTAATCCAAAATTCTCTTTAAATGAACGCTGCACAAAGTTTTTTGATGAGCTACAAGCCTCCTCCAAATTGAAAAGCTTTGACACTTTCGTTCCAATCAAACTCCTTGATTAGGGAGAAATTTCCCGGGCTTCCTATAGCTTAAGAACATTGGTTACATGAGAAACATGTGACTTCCTGTGAGCAACATAAACAAACATTTAACCCTAGATACACTGAGTGTTTTCAACTTGTAATACCCAACACTCCAGCTAGGAGCCATATTCTGGTGGATCCTTAAACCCCAGAGCCGGAGGAGATAAGTGAAGTCCCTAAAAACAAGACTCTATGTAGGGCCTCTTCAGTTACAATGAATGCAAGTGAAGTTTCTGAGGAGAAGGTGTCAGGGGAGGGGGAAGTGTGGGACGCAGGAGAAGCAGGCAGAAAATGGAAGGGAGGTAGCGACGGAGCTGAATTTCTGACCCCAGCCTAGAGCCTCTCAGGATTTCTGCCAAAGGAACCACAGTTATGAACCAGAAACCCACACCTGGCTTTGGTTTCCTGTATCTGAGCAGGTTTGGGAAGCGGAATCCAAAAGATGCCACTGCAATTGTGGTGAAGTGTGTCTGTTGTCAGCCTCAGAGCCCTTAGTTTAAATTCTCCCTTACCACGACACCCATTGGGTGACAGTGTGTCAGTCATTCTCACCCTCAGCAGGGTGTTGTGAGGATAAAACGGAGGGAAAGCCATATACACACCACCCACCATTCCTTGGAGGAAGGGTTGGCAGAGAAACTCGTTCCTTGGCTTGCAGCTTTTGCTGTTCAGGTGCCCTTGGCCCAAAAGGCCCTAGTTTCTTCCTCACCTGCTTTGGTGTTTGGTGTAGCCAGTTGGAATTTCAAGTTGCATATATTTCAGTCATTACAGAGTTAAGTGTTGTTTGTTAGGAAACAGGATGTTACGTTAGATAATGTATTCTACAGCGGGAAAGTTTGAGGGAGTTACTTAGCCTAATGAAGTGACCTGTAGCCTTTGTATTGGTCAACTAACAACTTGTTTGTGGAAATGCTTTGATCTAGCATTAATGTATTCACAAGCTTTATGGCCCTTTGTGTGAAGTACACAGGAAGCTCTCTCTTGAAGCCGCCAGATAGATAGAAAGATGTAGGTGTTAGTATGTAGTGCTGAAAGTAACTACAAGTATGTAACCTTTTGTTTTATTTCTTTTTATCCAAAGTACCCTACCCATGCTTTATTTTGTTTTGTAGTAAAGATATTTTTCTTTTACTAATGTCTCTTGTGTTTGCAAAACGACCATCGATCTCGAATCTAAGAATCTCAACACCAGTTTGGTGTAGTGGTCTGATGTAGTAGTTAACTGCACGGACTCTAATCTGGGAAAACCAGGTTTGATTTCCCACTCCTCCACGTGCAGCTGCTGGATGACCTTGGCCAAGCCACAGTTCTCTCAGAGGTGTTCTCTCAAGAGCAGTTTCTCTCAGAGCTCTCTCAGCCCCACCTACCGCACAGGGTGTCTGTTGTGGGGAGGGCAAGAGAAAGCAGATTGTAAAGAGAAAGGAGATTGTAAGCCTCTGCGAGACTCCGAGTGAAGGGCGGGGTATAAATCCAATCTCTTCTTCTTTTCTTTTCCTCCTCCGAAACTGCAGTTTTTGGAGTCTCACGCTTGGCTTAAGTTGCAAGCGTCCAGCGGGATGAGGGCCAAGGATCCTGCTGGCAATGCACTTGAACTTTGCACGAGGGATTCCTAGGAAGGAGAGGAGGGGCGCTGCTGCTGAGATCTTGAGCTCCGAAGTCTGTCTGGGGTCCATTCTCTGGCCTCCTTCCCCTTGGCCCCGTGGACTGTATCCCCCCCCCCCTTATTGGATGTCTGGGCAAGCTGGGGGCCAGAGATGCCTTGCAAGGCAATTCCACAGGATTGGGGCAAATACTTGGAATCAGCAGTAATAGCCCAGAGCCGCCTTTGCACCCTCTGAACAGGCAAGAAGACCCTCCGGGCTTTGCAGGCTGCAGCAGCAGAAGAGCCTGAGTTGGTCAGCTCCCCCCCCCCCCCCC